GGGGGGGGGGCGTGGCTGCGGTGCCATTGACTTGAATGCACTGCCATGCCCTCTCCCGTCCCAGAATGCAGTGAGCCAGCCAGGATGCGATACAGTACGTTCCAGCAGCGAACCACTCTGGAAAGCACTTTAACTGGTGTGAACAAGTCCTCAATGTGACATTTATCAAATATTCACTGCAGGTGAATCCATTACACTAATTTAAAAAACATGCACCAAAATGATACACCTATATTGAATGTTTAGTGAATGTCGCCACCTCCGGCCCACTGAGCTGCGGGGAGAACAAGGGAAACAAACAGCCACTTGACCTCAGATAAAAGGTTAAAAAAATGTATTTCCAGTCTTCTTGAACGGCTGTAAAAAATGCAAATTACTTAGTGATGGTACCAAATATTTTCCTTTTATTTGCTTTACATTTACATACACTTTAAGGACCTCGTAATGGAATTCAATGAATTAAACATTTGCTACTTATATTGGTCTCTCTTGTGACATTTACTAATAAATATTTTGTTTTTGGCTTTTACAGAAAAGATGACAAAGAATATGCACTGAAGCAAATTGAAGGTACAGGAATATCCATGTCAGCCTGTAGAGAGATTGCAGTAAGTGTAAAATAGTAAAGAACTATGGTTTATTTACAATAATAGTATGTGCAGGTAAATATTATCATTTTGTTACAGACATGTCTAGGATGCCACCTGGTCTAATGTTCCCATGTTCTCAAAGTTCTACCAGGTGGATCTTCAGGCCTCCTCTAATGCCCTTCCTAAGGACTAAGTACCTTCAGGCAGCACTTTGAGCTGCAGGCTGCCCTTAGTTTTATTCTGTTTTTTATTCTTGGCCTGTTGGCATTTTGTTTGCTGGGTTGCCCTCAGTTGGACAGCTTTTGCATGTCCCATTTGTATCAGAATAGCTACTGCATTTCCAAGCAGTTATCCTCTTATTAAAAAAAAAAAAAACACTGGGGCTGATCATATGACTATAATAGTTTTAGGAGGAAAGTGTAGAAATGCAAATGTGAGTTTTTGCCTAACAGTAGCAGCAGGTAAACATTTGCTACATTCCTTGTAATGTCTATAACTGATATGCAGAGTATTTTTTTTTTCTTGGCATGGGCATGATTTCACTTTTAAAAGAAATAAATCTTTCTGTAGTTTCTAATAGTAGAGATGGTTGGCCTTCTATTAACAGTCTTATCTCAGTTTTTTCTGCATTCACATCTGAGCTGAGCATATTTCAGGCAATTTAGAAGGGGTTTTTTTTGTGCGTCTTTCAGGCTATTTCAGTCTTGAGCATTTCTGTTTTAGCCAATAAAAAGCTAGTTACTATAGTGAGGAGGAGACGCTCATGTACTTTATCAAGCATCAGGCGATACAATTCTCAGGTGTAAACAGGCACTATTAATAATGGGATTCATCTTATTGAGGAGTTTCGGAAAATACGCAACAACACACTCACTAGTGAATAGGGAGAGTAGGAGGATTACCAATGTGTAATTGAAATGCGCTTCTAAAGCAGACATCCAGAATATGTTGTTGTCTGTGCATACTCTGCTTTAAAGTGTATCCAGGGCAAAATAAAAAAAGACATATACAGTACATTTCTGCAATACATTTCCCCAATTACAGAAAAGTACCTGTTGATCTGCTAGAAATGCACTTAGCGCCTAAATCCTGTTGTGGGATGACAACACATGGCATTTTTGTGGAGTTAGTGTAGTCAGTCCTGCCCAGTTTTTTTTTTTAAACTACTCCGACCCTTCTACAACATAAAACCTAATTATTTTGCAGTCTTAAGATAAGAGCTAATTTCTCTCCCTGAGACAGCACAGGAAATATGCTCAAGATACAGGACAGCTCTGAAATTCTGACTTCATCAGCAGGTTTTTTCTGCACTTATCAAACAGATATAACATAACACTTTGAATGGTATATTTAAAGTGTCTCTCCAGGCAATAATTGACAAAATGACCTTTGCTGGGTTTCCCCAAATATTGACAATATCTTGTGTTTTCATATCCTTCAACAATATTTATTTTACCCTTTTTATTCTGCTGTTGCCCAAGAAGATCTTCTAATATCCTATGCCTGTCCGTCAACAGCGATCAGCCACTATTAAATCTGCTGATCTACCTAATGTTGTTGGGACCCGTAAGTGGTACTGCCTCATTATTATTCAATACCCTGGCAGGTCCTCTGTTGCGTATGCGCCAGCTGTTAGACACACAGGACAGAAGGGGGCAGTGTCACTTCTGGTCGTGATGTCACTGCTTGGGGAAAGGTCCGTCCTCCACAGATAAAAAACGGAACTTGGAGCAAGGATAAATAAGCAAGTTACTGCAAAAAAATATGCAAAAAGGTATTTTTAAGGTGATTATTTTAAACTCATTTAAAGGAGAGTTATGAGGTGAGTGATTTTTACTCAGCCTCATAATCTGAGCCGACCTGTGACAATGAAACTGTCATAGGTCGGCTCAGTAGATCGGGAAGTGAGCGAGCACATAACGGCGCTCGCTCACTTCTCGATCTATCCCTGCAGGGAGCAGTGACAGGGGAGGGATTGGATTCCCCCCTCCCCTGTCCGAACCTCCAGCGCTGACTGGCGGAACGGACGGGGGAGGGGGTGGGTACAGCTGGCTCTGCCTCTAGATAGGCAGAGCCAGCTGTCACTCACGCAGCTTGGTGGATCCAGACATAATTGTCGGGATCCGTTCCGGCTGCGAGGTCTCAGTATATGGCGAGCCATGGCTCGCGGTATACTGAGCTTTGGGTGACGGGAGGACGCCAGTTTTTGTTCTCCCGTTACACTTAGGAGAACTGTCGGGAAAAGCCCTAACCCAATAGTTCTCCTTTACTGAGGGTGATAAAGCTATGTTATGTGTACCAGTTGCTCCATTGTTGATGTGCTGAGTTTCCATCTACTTTAACAGACCAACAGGGAGCAAATAAGAGAAAGTTTTAGTTGGGTTTTGCATACACTTTAAGATCATTTGCAGTCAACAGGAAAATGTACCATATTCATGCCTGACTAAACCACTGAAATGAATGGCATGCTGGAGAAAGGAAACCTCCTAATTTCTGAATTTTTCCATGGTCATAAAACTATAAGTACTTACCCCCAGGTACTTGCTGATACCAATTACCGATACATTTTCTTAAAGGGACATGTGACATTTTTTCTAAAACAACACAGACTAATGATTTTAGGGCAGTCTCAACTGGGCGGCATGTGGATCTCTGCAGGGCTCTCAGTTGATCGGACGGCTGCCGGTGTCCGGCGCTGTACTGTGCTGTGTGGGGGGCTGTCCATGACTGTGCCTGCGCCAGGAAGAAGGAGCGGAAGGTATAGAAACAGACAGGCACTGCCAGGGACAGCTACTACCAGGTCCCCAGCAGGCTGCCGAGATCCTAACAAAAATTTAAAGGGCCGGCATCGGCCTTAAGAATCGGGGCATTTTCTTGAGTACAAGTACTTGTGAAAATGCCTAGTATCGGCACCAATACTAGTATCGGTATCGGGACATCCCTAATTACTGAGGTTGTACAGTATCGTAAAATCTGAATGGATACCATGGGTTACTTCAGTTTGTATGTTTCTGGGGCTCAACAATCCAGGCTTGCAACAATGTGGTGCCTAAAACAAACTTATACAGGTTAAATCCTTTAGTAGTGCTTGTTCATTGAGGTAATCAGATCTATGAAGTGTGTCAAGCTACTGCTGGCTGTGCTCCGTGGAACATAATCACCACAGTGCAGACTACTAAGACTCCAGGGAAATGTTGCATACAGTTTACACAAACCTCATGCTGTGTTTGGACATTTCAGTAAGGCTTAAAAAGGAACTGAACTCTGAAAGCTGTGCCCAAAATAATGGCGAGCTTAGGACAAAGAACTTGTTACCACTACTACCAGTGGTCTGCATGCAGCTAATCTTCCTGTATTGTTGACTTACTATGTCTTCTGCATTGTTTCTCTGTGTTTAGAGGGCCGCCACTCTTTAGTGACACAGTAGTGATATCAGCAAATCTCAGTCCGGATCAGCTAAGTCTAGTACTCGGGGGCAGCAGTATCTTAGATCTCACTTTCAGATATACAGCTATGAGGTTGTAGGCACTGGAGTGTCTAGGTGCAGTCCCATTACCGGGAGGTGCCCTGCTATATTTCTGGAAGAATTCCAGACAAAAGGTACTGATAGGCACAATGAACATTTCTAGATATTCCCTTTAACATGCCAAGTATTCACTTTTTCCAGTTTAGTTCCACTTTAACTTTTATTCAATCTTTAAAATACATTACATGGTCATTTTATTACTACCCAAAACATATGTCTAGCCTGTTTTTGTGCATTAATGCTCTTTCTCATAAAAAAGGGATAAAAAGGCATGAGAAAGAGATCCAGCTGTTACTGAATTCATTTGCTCATTATTGCTTTGAAATAAAGCAGCTACACAATAACAGCCTATTTTGGTATAACTGCTATTAGAGCTGAACCACAAGCAAACCGCTGAATACACACTTGAAATACACATATACAGTTTGTGAAAACTCTTGGCTGCCAAAGGATCTATAATTCTGTCTTGCCACTGTTGTGATTCATATATCTCTGCCAGACTGCACAGACAGGAGGGTGACACCATTTTCTGTTAGGTCTTGGGCTCTTGTTCACACCACTTCAGTTGAGCTGCTTCGATCTGTACAGATCAACACAGGCTCAACATCTGGCCACATAGAAAACAATTGTTTTTTAGCAGTCCTGTTCACACCACAATGCTGCGATGAGGTGGGTTATAGCGCATAAAAATGCATCTATGCATCCACCTCTCACCTAATGTCACCCATCCCCACACCGCAGCTCAGCTGTGGTGCATTGAAATGTATAAAATGTAATTTTGTGACCTTTCAATAAAGTAAGAAAAAAAAAGGTAAACACTAACAGCGCCTTGCATTGTAACAACACAAGGCACCACCGGTACACAGCAGACACCAGCCTTTACCAGTTTTAGCATAGGGGTGGTGTAATCAAGCCATTGGAGTTCAGGAGTAAAGCGCTCATCAGCTCTGCTCTATTTGCTTTCTACATGTGCTTCACTAGATAAAGAAAGAAAGAGGCTGGTTTCAAGGCACAGTTAGGTACGTGTTAGATGTATGGAACACACAAATGTACTGTATTAAAGCTAAACTACATTCTACAGTGAGGAAGATTATCCACATATGGAAACCATTCAAGACAGTTGCCAATATTCCGTGGAGTGGACCTTCCAGCAAATTCACCCCAAGGTCCGACTATACAATGATCAGAGAAATTGCAAAACCCCCCAAGTGTTTACAGGTTTGAGTTAGCATGTTAAATGTTAAAGTTCATGCCAGTACAATTAGAAAAAGACTGAACAAGTCTGGTTTGTTTAAAAGGGTTGATAGGAGAAAGCCTCTTCTCTGTAAAAAGAACATGGTAGCACAGCTTAGGTTTGCAAAGTTGCATCTGAACAAAGCACAAGACTTCTGAAAGAATGTCCTTTGGACAGATGAGACCAAAGAGGAGATGTTTGGCCATAATGCACAGTGCCACGTTTGTGCTCATATGCTGTGTTTGGTTTTTGCTAAAC